CGCGCACAACAAACCTCCTCTCACCCCGTACTCTAGAAAGCTCGCTTTCTTTCGCTCCTCAACCACCGCTGATTCCATCCCGGTCAGCGACCATATGATAAGGGAGTCGTACAAAATCAGTTCTTGAGCAATCCAATCGATCAACTACTTGTATCGGCTTTTCCCCGCATTCGTAAAGTGCTCAATCGAGCCTAGCCTCAATCCTACCAGACTAAGGCTCGTTTCCTGACTGGAGGCTTTACCGATCTGGCCCTTGGGGTCTCCCGGACCCCGGTCACACTGGGCACACGAATTTGACCCAAAAATTTTATTGTCATAAATCCGGACGCAGTTGGAAACCGAGGGTGAAAAATCCGGTCACGCTATCATGAGTATGAGATGTTGGCAGTGAGTGCCGATGGCTATCCTGAAGGTTATAGGGCTATGTTGTAGGGTTGGAGTGTACCAGGAGGAGAGGCTTGCCATGTGTATATATAACCTCCATCTCCGACATCGCTGGAGACGATCAAGTCTTTCCTCCCACATCCGCACCCACATCCAACATGGGACAGCTAAGGTGTTCTGATGGAATGCTGGTTGTGGTTGCTGTCCCGTAACTTCTTAATCCAGCGTGCTTTGAACTTATAGCTGCTAAGCATTCAGGGCTATGCTTGGTAGGCGCTGTACTGGCATTATAGTATAATATTATGGTGCTTACCAGAGAACTCTAAGTACTCTGTACCAAAAGTCCCGGAAACTTGCCTAACATGGGCTTGTTCTATTAATGATGAGAAAATTCCGGAACCAGGACGAATGAAGCAGGCCCGATAGTTAATTCAAAACTCTATTGAATTACTGCTCGCAGGTAAAGAAGGAGGTCATGGGGTAGTGCTACTGATGGGGTTTATACAAGATAAGAAAGAAGTTAACTTCCTATAGCTATTCCAAAGTTACTGGTTAAGTGTTGATCCTCCTTGCCCCATACCATCTAGGGGACAAGATAACGGGCTGTGCTCCATCCAATTTGCCTTAATACCTCAAAAACTATGATACCTCAGTTTGTTTCGCATTCGGACTCAAAAGTTTACCTAAGTCAGGGTTGAGCTCGGACAGGTGGGGGTAGCTCTGGAGGGAGCTTGGCAGCGCAATGGATGATTCTATGCACGGCCACACTCTCGAGGCTAGTCTCAACTGATGGTGGTAGAAAGGCGTATTTGCTTGTACACACGGATCGGAGGAGAGGAGAGGAGAGAAGATGTTCGATACTCTAACAAACCGCTAACCAATGGTCTATCTATATAGACAACACCACTGTTGGGGTAGCGCCCCACATAACCACCACATCTAGGGTGTAACCCCATACAGATAACACACTCCATGACTATCACACAGCCACCCATACATCTACATGCTCTGACATCTCCATCCTTTTCTCATAGCAGGGTTATACTACCATCATCAACCACTCATGAATTGTCACGAGATCTCTGGGTGACACCAAGAAAAAAGTAAACCAAGTGCAGAAAAGCAAGACTATGGGCAATCGATCCCCCAAAAGCGAAGACTCCCTTTCCTACACAGCAGCCCCCTCCACGAATCCGCAGCCGTGGCCTTTATTCTACTTTGAAAAAAAGGGGGAGAAAGAGACGGAGAAATAAATATAGAGGAAAGGGGAAAAGGAGAGCTCGGAGCTCCAATTCCCGTATGCACCAAGACGGGACCAAACTAGCTAATAAATAAGTTGGTAAGCTAGCTTAACACGCTCCCCCTCTCCGAAAATTCTTTCACACTTCCAGCCACATCTAAAACAATACCCCTCGAGTTACTACTTCTATCGGGGAGTCTTTGGGGAGGCCAATATCTTGGGGATAAGTATGGGTGTATCCCCCAGCCACGCAGCACACTATCCGAGATGTAGCCAATTTTTATCTCCAAACCAGGGAATAATAATAATAATAATAATGGGGATTGGGTTAAAATAAAGTCAATTGGCGCAGAGGATTATATTAGGGCATTCAGGATGCGCCAGCGACTTTGGTAATGGGGAACAAGGGGCTGTGTTCGGGCTGTCGGACTGGGTACTGGGTAAATAAGATGGAGAGATAGTGGGTTTGGAGAGGTCGGATGTGCAGCGAGGGCCGTAGATCTGGATTTGTATATTCGGGTGAGAAAGCCTCCAGAATTGGTAGTGGCTTTAGGAATATAATATTCGAGTAGCCGAACAAGCCCCGTCTCGTGCTGCGTGGTTCAGGCTGGCGAAATTATGGATTTGGATCTGCCCCGTGTGGGGGGAGAAGCTGCGCAATAGATTCATGACCGAATGCTTTAGCTGCTTTTAGTGCATTACCAAAATAGCCACCCTTCGCATTCACCTCTGCCCCACTCTCGAGGAGAAGCCTCACAACTGATTCGTTTCCCTCGCATGTAGCTGCTTGTAGTGCATTCCCATAATGGCCACCCTTCGCATTCACCTCTGCCCCGTTCTCAAGGAGAAGATACACAGCCGATTCGTTTCCCTTGTATGCAGATGCTTGTAGTGCAT